ACGCACTTGCACGCACCTGCCTCCTGTCCAGCTTTACCAGAGCGAATTGCATGATCGCCCTACTTTATCAAATATTAAAACGCTGTTATTATATCACTTACGTCCCAATTAGCACCAAACCAGGCTCTTAGCGTGGACTTATTTAATGTCATTTTGTAGGGGATCGGGTTAGCAGATATTGTGTGTTGGTCTGATTGTGTCTGCTTGTGTGTTGTAGAGTGTGCAATTTTGTGTCAGGTGCATGTTCATGCTTTTGTGTAGACAAGTTTTTTGTTTGTTTTTTTTCCTTTTCCATACGGTATGTTAACATGTGTATGTTTTGTTTTGTTTTATGTGGCTTTGGACACATTCTGCGTTTGTGTGTCATGTTGTATTAAAGGGTAGATGTGTGTGTTTTGGTTTGTGTGTGTGTAGATTTGTAGTTGTGTATAAGCATGAGTGTGCACACTTGTTTCTCTATGAGCTGAGTTTTTGGATATTTAGGTTTGTATTTCTGTAAAGGTTGTAAGATTTTGTGTTTTTTTTTTAGGTTTTTAAACTGGTTGTTTGTCTTGTGGGATGTTTCTGTTTGTGCGTTGGGTTATAGGTTATGTATGTCAAGAGTGTGTAGATGTGTCAGTGTTTGTAGGGGACATGGGTTGGTTTGTATTTGTGTACAGTGTGTAGGTAGATGTGTCAGTGTTTGTAGGGGACATGGGTTGGTTAGTATTTGTGTACAGTGTGTAGGTAGATGTGTCAGTGTTTGTAGGGGACATGGGTTGGTTTGTATTTGTGTACAGTGTGTAGGTAGATGTGTCAGTGTTTGTAGGGGACATGGGTTGGTTTGTATTTGTGTACAGTGTGTAGATGTGTCAGTGTTTGTAGGGGACATAGGTTGGTTTGTATTGGTGTAGTGTGTAGGTAGATGTGTCAGTGTTTGTAGGGGGCATGGGTTGGTTTGTATTTGTGTACAGTGTGTAGGTAGATGTGTCAGTTTCTTTAAGGGACATGGGTTGGTTTGTATTTGTGTACAGTGTGTAGGTAGATGTGTCCTTTTCTTTAAGGGACATGGGTTGGTGTGGATTTGTGTACAGTGTGTAGGTAGATGTGTCCTTTTCTTTAAGGGACATGGGTTGGTTTGTATTTGTGTACAGTGTGTAGGTAGATGTGTCCTTTTCTTTAAGGGACATGGGTTGGTGTGGATTTGTGTACAGTGTGTAGGTAGATGTGTCAGTGTTTGTAGGGGACATGGGTTGGTTTGTATTTGTGTATAGACTGTGCATGTGTAATTTTTGTGGGGTGTGGACAGTTGTGTACTACTGTATGGAATGTGTATTTGTGTGAAGCAATATATAAAGTGTTGTAGTGGTGTAAGGGTGTGTGTTTGCAAGGAGGGTGTGAACGATTTAATTTGGACTGACAAAATATTAAATATAAATCTGAAAGCTGATTAGGAGTTTGTTGTCAGGCAATTGGAAATCTTTGAGATTCTGAAAGTGATACTGTGTTTGTAGTCTCAAAATTAACCTCTGACCAGTGACCTAAAGGTAAAGACGCGAAGAGACTTCTGTGCAAAACCAGTGTATTTACATTTACAAAATTATTTATTTTAAATACCTAGACAACAGCATGGAATAAAATGATTTTTAAATATCTTGGATAAAAATGTATTTTTAAAAATGCAGAAATATTTAGATAATGTACAGCACTAAATGTCTTTGCACATATTATGCTGCCTGTCACTTTTTTTTTTTTTTTAATTCTTTATTTATAGCGTGCAAAGAAAGACATAGTGTTCAGTAAGCCACAACAGCTTCTGCGCTCAGATTGATAACAAGACATATAAAACAGGGTTATGGCATTTGTATATATCGCACATTTTAAGTTTTTATGGTATGCTAAGAGTTCAGGCTGACTGGTATATGTCTGGAGCTACTGTGAAGGGAGAGTGGCTGACCTTTGCATAAACATAGGCCTGTGGCTAAGCATTGTAAGGTAGTACGGTGAGTAACGTATGAGGAGATGCATAGAGCGGTCAGCCACTCTAGACATGCTGGGTTGTTATGCTGAACAATGCTTCAATTGTGCCACTGGGTACTGGTAGCTATTTTCTTGGTTGGAGGTAGCTCCGTTCTGCCCACAGAGCATAAGAAAACAAAATAAAAACATCATAATCAAGAACATTTGAAAAATGTTACCGGAGCTGTACCACGACAACTCTCGCATGCCATACTTCGATAGCCTTAGCACAATAAAGAGCAGTAAGGTATTTTTAAAATTGAGGTAGTTAACAATTAACGAGTTGACATAATACTACCCTTAGTGCTTGTGTCAGGTAAGAGTGTGCTGTGGTATGTTATCTTATACATGTTTACATGTTACATTAAGTAATGGAGGGCGTGATAACGGTGCCAAGACCGTGGGCCTAGGAGTGTGATCTAGCCCTGTGGGTCTTATGTAAGGAAGCCGTGGTCTTGTCTTACACGTAGACAATGTCGTGGTCAGTCGGGTGTGTTGGTTGTCGATTTACACTCATTTACCCCAGAGTGTTGGGGGGGGGTGAGCGGAGGGGAATCTCCGTTGTCTGTGTCCTCTAATCGGGACATGTTGGAAGAAGTGTGCGGTCGCCTAGGGTCATCTATAGTATCTATAACCCGGGAACTCTAACAGTGCCGGGCGGCGCTGCCTATTAACGAAACATTAAAAACGATAACATTTAAACTTTTAAACATCAGGGGTTGACCGGTATCTGGTACTGGTGTGGGAATCAGTCCAGGTCCGTGTGACTGCTGGTGCATCCACATTCAGCCGGTGTCATCTGCAGAGCGTGGGATAAAAGGGACAATTCTGCGGACGTCCCATCTGTGGCTTGGACGTGCCGTGTTGTCAGAAGACATGGTAAGTCCCAGTCCCTGTAGGAATGTCGCTGAGTCTTCGGCGGTGGAAAGCTGATGCATGCTCCCGTCTTTATGGACTATTAGAGCACGAGAGGGCCCCCATTTGTAGCTGATGTCTGCAGAGCGTAGGATCTTTGTCACCTGTTGAAAAGACCGTCTCCATTCCAGAGTGGAGCGGCATAAGTCCTGTAAAAGTTGGAGTTGCATTTCTTCAAACTTAAGAGGTGTTCTGGATTTTGCAGCATCCTGCAGGGCCAGCTTGTCGCGAAGTAGCGGGAAACGTATCAGGACATCTCGGGGAACCCCAGCCGGGGCCCTATTTGACTTGGCCAGTCTGTAGCAGCCGTCTACCTGAATGCCCTTCGCGGAGCGCTGCGGCAATAGGGTAGTCCATAGCCGGCGTAAGAAATGGGGCAGTTCCTGTTCGGTAACTGATTCGGCTATACCCCTGATTTTAAGATTATTACGCCTCCTTGCGTCGTCCTGGGTGTCCAGTCTGACCTGCATGCTTTTATGTGCTGCTTGAAGCTGTAGCAAGTGCTCGTTGGTGCTTTCTTGCTTTTGGGCTAGGGAGGTGATGGCATCCTCATTAGCCTGCAGTCTTGCTGTCACCACTGTTATATCCTCACGGATGATATTCAAGTCTGCATTGAAGAAGGCTCTTATGTTTGTTAACAGAGCTTTGATGTCCCCTTTTGTAGCTGGGGCTGTTAGATCTTCCTCTCTTTGAGGGCTGTGCATGCTCCCTGAACAGGGTATTTCATCGGGTGCGTCTAAGAGTTCTTCCTCAGAGGATGTAGAATATGCGTCTATTTGTGGCGCCATTTTGGGCCTAGGCTGCGGTTGTAGGAGGTCGGCAATATCGCGGGAGCCGTTCCCGGTAAGGGTTTTTAGCTTTTTGGCTTTCTTCCCCATTGTGCGCTGTAATGTTTGACCCGGTCTGGGCTGGTTTAGGGTAGGTAGGTGCCCCAGTACTTGCGTTTTATTATGCCCACCGCGGGAGCTTATCCGACATGCGTCTTCTCTCCTCGGCGTTGAAGCCACGCCCCCCGCCTGTCACTTTTTAATAAAAAAAAATATTTTCTGCTTTGCCACGAAGAAGTTTATTTACCAAGCAGGGACGTGAGATGACTTTGACAACCGAGAATAGATTAAACCAAAATAGTCTACATGTCAAAAGATACCTCTCTATCGCTATCTATTTCACAGTGTTCACCAGTGTGCGCGCACACACACACACACACACACACACACTCTCTAACAGCACCCTCACACTAACAACACCCTTAAATACACAACACCCTCACACATACACACACACACACAGCACACACTAACAGCACCCTTACACACAGCACCCTCACACACACAGCACGCACTAACAACACCCTTACACACACACACTAACAGCACCCTCACACTAACAACACCCTTACACACACAGCACGCTCACACATACACACACAGCACACACTAACAGCACCCTTACACACAGCACCCTCACACTAACACCCTTACACACACATCACCCTCACACATACACACACAGAGCACACACTAACAGCACCCTTACACACAGCACCCTCAACCACACACACAAAGCACACACTAACAACACCCTTACACACACACACTAACAGCACCCTCACACTAACACCCTTACACACACATCACGCTCACACATACACACACAGCACACACTAACAGCACCCTTACACACAGCACCCTCACACTAACACCCTTACACACACATCACCCTCACACATACACACACACAGCACACACTAACAGCACCCTCAACCACACACACAAAGCACACACTAACAGCACCCTCACACTAACACCCTTACACACACATCACCCTCACACATACACACACACAGCACACACTAACAGCACCCTTACACACACAGCACCCTCAACCACACACACACAGCACACACTAACAGCACCCTCACACATACACACACACACAGCACACACTAACAGCACCCTTACACACACAGCGCCTTCACACACACATTGCCCACACACAGCGCCTTCACACACACTGCCTGCACACACACACACAGCGCCTCCACACAGCACCCTCACACACACAGCAGTGTGTGTGTATATATATATGTGTGTGTGTGTGTGTGTGTGTGTGTGTATGTGTGTATATATATATATATATATATATATACACATACATACACACACACGCAGCATGTGTGTTTCTGCTTTAGGGTGCACACCCTTATACAATAGGCTGCGCACGCCTATGCCCTATGTTTAGCAAAGATCATACATCTCTCCTGCATCCTGTGCACTTGCCGGCCTTTTTATTGTCCATGTAATATAGTGAGGATGCTGGGGGTGAATGGGCTACAGAGAGGGGCGTCTATAAAAATTATTATTTTTTTAAATGAAGTGTGCGCCTGCCAAAAAAATTATTTTGCTGATGAAAAAAATTTTCTACTCAGGCCTTTTGCATCCGAGACCCATCTTGCAGCCAAGGATATGTGCTGGATAGGATTCGTGGATACGCGTTTCCTCCCACACAGACTCGGTGTGAAGCCTACAATCTGTTAATGCATTCAGACTACAGGGAGACCCAACTGAGGATTTAATAGCATAGTAAACAAGAGCCAGTTTGGAATATACCCCAAGAACAATTCTAAGGTGGAAAATCTTCCCGAAAAACAAACTGCAGGAAGCTTTTTGTCCTGAGAGCATAGAAGCCCAACCCATTATTACTTGGCTCTGATTCTGAACTCCAGTTGCAAATCTGCTCGATTTGCAATGCTGTGAGTGTTAGTGGCGTGATCGCTCAGAGGGCCCAAAACTCTCCTGAATACACACTATGAGCTGAGCAGGAGGTCCTATCTGTCTCCTGGAATATCGAAATGACCTAAGACCTCGCAGAATGCAATCCATAACAAAATTACTTAAGGATTTTTTTTTTTTCTAGTGGAGAGTTAGAGATCAACATAATTTTAGTTAAAGGGACACTGTAGGCAGTACAACCTTTTCATCTCATTAAATGGCTTATAGTTCCTTGAGTCCTGTCCCAGTCCATCCATTAAGTGTGAAACTAAAAAGGTCCCTGACCACCCACAACCCAGCCCCCAGTGGAGGTGGGGCTGAGGCAGAGATTGCATACTTCCTTCTAGCCATACCAATTCATACCAGCAGTAGCTGCTGTGATAGGTTGAAAGGGATCAGCTGACACTCCACCAATCACAGCTGCCAATTGCTGGTCAGCCAGTGGGGATGGGCTGTTGGGGACTCAAGTTTAGCTGTAAACCATTAAAAATGATTTAACGCCAAATGGAAGAATGGCACCTGCCAGGGGACTCCAGACACCATAACCACTCCAATGAGATGAAGCAGTTACACTGCCTATAGTAAGATGCTGAGTGCAGGCACAGTCTAAGATACATTTAACTACTGCTTCCTTATCCAAAGAAGTTAAATTGGTCTGCTGTCATATGACTATTCATGCCGAATGGTATTTAAAAAAATAAAATAAAAAAAATTCTACATTTGGTTAAACTCGCAAATGTATGTAGGAACAGAACCCACCCAAAACAAATCACCCGGAAATTATCCTTTCTATATTTTTGGAACAAGGCTATTGAGCTCACTGACCCTTTCTGTGACCTATAAACCAAAATGCAATCTCCCGACATTCACGTTCTCCTTTTTGCAGAACGATCCATAATATCTATTTGCAGGCGTAGAACGCTTCAGAATTTCCATTCATATTTTGCGCCTGTGAACGTCTCAATCTGATGTGTTCATAGTTAATAACAGAAACCGAAAATAGACCATCTGCCAGACACCAGGGCTGCCTTTTGGAAGCATGAAAAATTAATGAAACACATAACAGGATGTATCTGTCACCAGTTTTAGTGAGCAGATCTGCACAGCAGCAGAGAGAACGGAATATCAGACAAGGAAGATTCTCCAAACCCCGACGTATACAGAGCTTTGTTAAAGGCATAGGGATTCATGCTCAAAATAGATCAGACAGGTAGACAGAAGCAGAAGACGACTTGGTAGACTATAGGGGCTGGAAAGACCAAAGCTCAGACTCTTTCTAATAACAGGATGTCTGGCCTCGAGACTTCAAACTGGGACCTCCTGTATGGGTTCAGCAACAACCGCCACGGTTTTATGTTCAGCTATAGGTTTGCAGAGCATTGTGGTGGTTGCAGTCTAAACTCAACCTGGATCTCTCCCTAAATGCAGACCCATAAATCACAGTATATTTTACATAATTAAATGCACACCACGAAAAATATCCTTAAAGGGTAACTCCAAGCACAATAACCGCTTAAGTTGTTTGAAGTGGTTATGGTGCCTATAGTCAGTGTGTGCAGCATTTCACTATGAAATTCTGCGTGTACAGAGTTTATCCCCTATGCTGCCGGAGGTGTAACTCCACCTGCGGCAGGGCCATGGAGTCGCTATAATCCAATATTGGTCAGATGATGCTTTTAGCCCACTGTAGTTGTTATGGTGTCAGCATGTCACTAGTGTTTACCCAGGCATCTATTACTAAAATATCCTTAAAGTCACTTAACCGTTTGGAAGCATCTTTGTACACCAATTACAAAAACTAAAAACAAATATATACTTTAATCAAGCAAGCATAAAACACTGGTTATTTGCGCTAAGACGCTCAGATTTTCAGTGTCAAAGAGCTGTATTCTTCTTCGGAACTCTAAGTAAAGTAGAATTCACAGTTCTCTGTACTGGGAAACGGTAGCAGGGCCCGGGGCTTGGGAAACAAATCTTACTCACTTCCTTTTTCTGTGCTGAAAGGATTTGCTGTAGGGAACAACAGTATGTGTCTAAAGCCGTGGAAATTGCCCTAATTAAGGACACTTGCTCCCTTACACATGCACGCAGAATTTATTTTTCCTTCGCCTCCTCCACTGCTTCTGAAACAATAAACCTTTTCTTTTGGCTTATTTATGTCTGCAGAGCTCTCTAGCAAGTATTTCCAGACAATTCCTTCTACCATTCATTTGGAGAAGCTATGGCATTCTTGGTCCAAAATGGTACCCTACTGTGGGCGCATGGAAGCCATGTAACAAGAGGCATCTGGGATCAGAAAAAAAAGGGGTGCAGCGGATTTTTTTTTTCCCATTTCCTCGGAAATGTCAGAAATTAGTTTAAAAAAAATAGGTCACTGTTTATTCGTTGCCAATATTTTTGTTTTATCTCTTCCTTCAGAGTACGTCCGATATTCACACATTTTCCATCTTTACTAGGGTAAATCCAGTTCCTATGTTATTAACAAAAATAGCAAAAAATAAATTAAAAAATATTCAATTAAGACTGTATAAAAAAATGTGAAAAAAAACTCATACATTTTTTTTCTGTCTTTTTTTAAGTATAGGTGAAGGGTACATCTGTCATCTTACATAATGTTCATGACAAATAAATGCATTTCTATGAGGTAGAACATGCTGCGTGCCTGTATTAAGAGCAGATGCATTCGAATGTTTGTGTCACCTGCTCTCAGGGGACATCAAACTTCATTCTTTTTGTTAACCGAACTGGAAAAAAAAACTGTCCTGAGTGGACCTCTTAAAAAGTCCCTGATGTCATGCGCGCACATATAGAATGCTGGCAATCATTACTAATCATTAGTGACATCATTACTGGAAGGATTGTGGGTCAAGGTTACTAATAAAATCTGGTGACGTATGGTGCTTTACCAGACCCCCTAGACACTAACACGTTTTAGGGGCAATCTATTGAATGGACTACAGTTGGTTATACTGGGTTTATGTTGGTTTTTAGATCTGCGAATAAAAGATGTGCAAGTGTTTACAGGAAGGTCTGGATCGTAGTGGTGGGCTGAGAGTAGTCGACTAATTCTTCCCATGCACTCTCAGCCAGCCATTGCTGTCCAGGTTGATACTGCTAACGTGGATGTGTAAATTCTCAGTCTCTTTTTACTATAACTAATATTGATACCAAATGTTGTAACCTTTGTAGATTTCCTGCTTAAACCTGCTACTCGATTGCCACCGATGTAACAGGTCCCCATATCGCACCTCAGATCCACTGCACCAGTTCTCCAGAGCCCTTTTTATGATTTCTGATATAACATACACCGCATAGTGGTGAGGCAGGCACAGATGGCCCAGCTCGTGTCAGACAGTTTTGTTGGCCAGAATGCACCATTTTTAGTGAACCCTCTCATGCGTAGTTCCTGCTTCAGAAGAGTTAATGGAAGTTCAAGCTTAGGAACTAAGTAGTGGAGGCAGGGAGTGGCACCCGTGGACCCCAAGTAAGAAGTCAAACCATTTAAAAATGCTGCAATTACATATCATGGTGGTGTCAGGGCAGTGTTCCTTCAAATGTAAGTCAGAATAGCCAGGTTGGGGATATTTCCAGATTATCTGAATTGGCCTAAATATATCAGTTTTGATTTTCCATTACGGTGTTTATTGAATTAACTGTTTTTTTTCTATTGCCTTTATACCTACATTGATTGTGTTTGATGGCTATGGCACTGTTTGATTATTGGCTTGATATCCATGGAATATTGATGAATATTTATTGATCCTACAGAGCCGATTAGGTTGGTCTTTTGAATTTCAGAATTTGCTGCATAGAATCTTACTGCTCTTTAGGTAGATGATCCACAAATCTGACAAGTACAACACTGTTAATAAGTCTCTGCCTTGGCTACTTTACCGTTATTTGTTTTGCTTGGTGAAAGCCTTAATTGTTCCTATTTCTTCGTTCTGTCTTACAGGCCCTTCCCCTCGGAGGATACAGCAGAGAACGATGATGATGTGTACAGGAGTCTGGAGGAGCTCGCTGAGTAAGTGTTTGTCTTATATATGTCTAAACCTGCAATTCTCTCCAGGCTCCTTCTTAAAGAGGACCTGACATTTTGCAGTAATATCTACATAAGCTGGAACCTGAGTAATATCTACATAATGTGGGACCTGAGAACCAAGGTCTCTAGATCCATCACACAGAAATAAAATTATTCCATCAAGACAGACTCTTAGTTCAGTAAAGTTTATTCATTCATACCTGAGTTTGACTTGACAATTCCTGGTACCCAAACAGGGATTTCAAAATGCTTTCCATACAAAGTTAAAAGGCTCCATGATTTTAAATGCATGCACGCCACCAGTGAGAACAGATTTGCGCGCATGTATTCATGAGAAGAACAGGCTGGTCAGGAAGATGCCA